TTAAGTATTATGAAAACAGTAAGATATTTTTAAAATTTGGTTACTTTTAAATTTTCAAGCTATCGAAAACAAATTTATTTTAGCATTGTCGTTAAGCGCGTTAACTCAAGCTAAAGAGTATTTATACCACTAATATTGTATTTATTACATTAATTTCGAATTATTCGGTGGAAATTTGAGATAAGAAGCATATAATATATATATATATATAGTATAAATATATTAATTTTATCATGTTTAAAATAATATAATAGTAAAATAACGGTAATAATAAATTTCTTCGGCTTAATATTTTAATATTTAACTTAATACTTAAAGTTTAGCTGAAGAACATTTTTAATAATGTAAAAACAAAAAATTTTGATCTATGTAGAAAAGAATCTTGCTTAAATTTCCATCTGTAAGGTGCTATATATCCTTTGTGAAAACAAGTCTTTTAAAAGTATAATATTGGTTTTTTTATAGCTAAATATCCTAATTTTATCCTAATTTTAGTTACAGAAACATCAAGCTTAGTTTTTACCTAATTATAACCTTAGTTATTCTTTATACGCTTCAAAAATATACATGTTGACATGTTTCAAGCATATAAAGAATAGGCTCCCATTTTCAAGACTTGACAAACGTGAATGTAACGAAACTAAAATCATTCGAAACACAAGTAAACTTTCTAGCAAATCAAGGAAATCAACATTCAAATGAATAAAATACGATTCCAGGGTATCTAGATGAGCCGACTTGACTGGGGTTGAATTTATGTCGAGGTTGAATTTATGTCCAAGATTTCAACCATTGGATGCAATTGGAGATTTTTCGAGTTCTTGATAACGGACATGTCCATCATGCTTCTTAATTCTAAATTTGAAATCACGTTTAGTTTGTCCGATGTAGCGAAGTTCGTACTGACAAGGGGTGGGGTAAATGCCTCTGTGAAAAACGCGTTTTTAAATTTTAGAATTAAATAATACGATAGATGAGTCCGTAGTCAAGAACTTGAGAAATCTTCAATTGTTTCACATTGTTGAAATCGTGGCATAAATTCAATTTCGATATTGCTAGAAATTTTTACACCACAGTCATGTCGGCTCATTTAGATACTCTGGAATCTTATTTCATTCATTTGAAGGTTGATTCCTTCGTTAAGGACATTAGTTCTCCCCCAACTCTCTATAACTCGTGGAAATACATTTTACCCTGATTTGCCTCTCGACAACAATTCCTTCTTGTTCTCTTTTCATCTTCTATCTCTCTCTACTTCTATGGTTTTTCTAACTTTTATTTTTGCCTTTATTTTTTCCTTTTTTAACTGACAACTTCACGTTTTTTTTTTCCAAATTATTTTTGTTTTGTTACGTTCAAGTCTGTCAAGCCTTGAAAATGGGCACCTATTTTTGTTGTGCATCAATACCAAAACCCTGACTTCCATCTCTGCTTAATTTTTTGAATTTTCTTTTCATAAAAAGCTCCGCGTGAAATGTTTACATATTGCACCTACTTTTTCTTAAACCTATTTATGTTCATAACGCATTATCTATAATCAGGGAAATGCAGGCAATAGAATTGTTTAAGAGAAGCATTAGAGCTGCTCCGTGTTAAAATATATGAGTCAAATTCTCTGAAAATGCCCATATTTATCTAAAAATGCTCAAAATATGTCCTTCAATGGTATTTTTTTAACAAAACATGTTGTATCTACCGTCCATATTAAAGAAGGAATAAAGCAGACACTTTGTGAATTTATTTAAATTTTTTGAAAAGAGCGAATCTCTTAAAACTGGTTTCATATTAAAATATGAGTGCGAAATTTTCTAATTCAACGCAGATAATACCAGAAATTGCAAAATACAATATTATAAAGCATCAAAACCAAACCAAATTAATGTTTTGGCTAGCGCTTGATAATATTAGTTTGTATGGAATCTAATGTTATATCCAGAGAAAACAACGACTTTCTGTATCTTTCTAATATTAGAAAGTTGCGTAAGATAACGTTAGATTTTACTGGTTTTTTGATGTTATCTATAATATTAGGTGCTTTCTAGATGGGCATTATGCTGAAATTTTGACGATATTACGTGTAAGTGAAAACTGAATAGCAATAAATAAAATCAATACAGTTTTTTATAAGTTTTTTAGATATATATAAGGGTCATTCTCACTAAAAGGTGATTTTTTAAGTCCCTTAGTAATAAATATTAGGAAATACAACAGATTTCTTAATATTTTACTTCATCATTTTTCGTAAANAAAAAAAAGAGCAAGAAACTTTAAAATCTGTATCAGAAAAAGATTTAACAGAAAAATCGTGATTAAATGTACTTAAATTTCTAGAAATTGATAGAGCAAGCCGTTTGTGCAAAGGGAAAACAGAAACAATAATAAGAAGAAATGAGAAAAGACAAAAACGTTATTTGGATGACAGTATGTTTAACTTGCATAAAATGTTCATAAAAGAGTACCCTCAACACTCAACTTTCATGTGGAGTCTGTATTTTTATTTCAATAGTCTTTACATTTTAATTTATTAATATTCAGTAAAAGTTACTTAAGAGTTACTTAAAAATTGTACACCTAGGTTAAAAATGGATGTTTCCCTTCATATAGCAGCATGATTAATCGGAAGTAGCTCCATCTCTAATAATGAAATATTTTGTTATTTACTTATTAATGTTAAACTCATATCAGATGTAAACAATAATTAATGAATCTGTGTTCATTGATATTTTATAACATAAAATGTATCCTCCGTTGATTATTACATCTCCTCCGTGGAAAAGGCAGAATTTAAAATATTTTAAATTTTGTAAAAAATAAAATAGAGAACTTGACCATTATTATAAGGACATATAACAAAAATAAATAAAGGCACTTATGTAATTTTTATCACTTTTTTAATTACTTTAATTCAAGAAAATTTTTTAATCTATTTATACCTTTTCAGTGAGAATGACCCATAAGAGAGAAAGTATTAGATATATATAACAGTTATAATTTCAAATTAATTAAGCTTAATATTAAAGATTGTGATCACACTACTAAAATACATAATACCGGGAAAGTATGTGTTTATCTATAAAAATTAAACAAAAATATTTCTACTGCGTTTTAATAAATGATTATCATTTTAACTGATATTTAATGATTTTATCTCAAAATATTTAAGAACACAGATAAATCAGTATAACAAAAATTATCATCAGTTTTTAACAGAGGTAATTGTGGCTTCCTGGAAAAAAAAGAGAGAAATTTAGGAAAGAAAAAAAGTGGGCGTAAGAGATTTATAAATTCATTTATCGTGAACAATCTCTGCGTTTAGAAAACTGTAAATTCTAATTATACTTTTAATAATAGCGAAACTGATTTATTCATCTTTAATTTTATTACAGGAAATTTTTACACTTACATGTTAAAGTATAAATGAACAAAATTTATCAACATCATGAGCCATATTATTTAAAAAAAACTAAAATACCTGAATTTCATAGCAATATTTACAGTGATATTAATTTTCAACCAAGATTTAAAATTGCGTGAAAATGAATCAGGTTGTTTAATTCTCAAACAGCGTGAATTTAAAGCTCGTTGTTTGTTTTTTTTTAAAATTAAATATGAATCGTAATGTTTGATTTTTAAACCACTAGAAAACGAATCTCGATGCTTGATTTTATAATCACATGAATACGAATTAAGTGCATAATTTTTAAACCTCGTTATGAATACGAATCATGATGTTTGATATTAGAATCACACTATGCGTTTTTGAATAGCGTAAATGTGAATCACGTTGCTTTATTTTTTAATCACATAAATACGCTTCGTGATGTATAATTTTGTAACTGCGTAAACGCGAATAACGATTTTTAGATTTTAAAATTACATGAATACTCAGAATACAACTTAAAATTATAATTCTCATTTATATTATTTGTGATATAGTTATTGTAATTATTCCATTTATTTACTACAACTCACATATTTTATTTTTAAGTAAATTGCAAGATTTTAATAGAAAACAGGAATAATTTAACTATAAAGCAAATTTTTTCTCGAAATATGTTGAAAATATTATGTACTAATTAAATAAAATTTAATTTAATAAAAAGGAGAAGAACAGCGTTATTTTATAGATAAATGGCCCCACAATACATGAAAGTTTGTATAAATAAAATGTTCTGTTCCATTTACAAAAAAAAAAGCTTTACAAGAAACCAGTTTTTTTAATCGAATTCTTATATGAAACAATAGAATTTTAAAGGAAAAAATTATGTCTGTTAAATATATTTATAGTATAAAAAGAGAAATGCTTTGTTTGAATTCAAAACATGCTTGGGATGATCCAAAGACATGCCATCGCATTTTTGATCCTATGTAGAGGGGAGGACTCCCCTGCTAACAAAACGACTTGAGCGCGAAATCGAGCACTTTATGATAGAACAGTTTAATAAGGACCGGTACTGCACATCCTCGTTCCGTTCCCTACTCAGGCTGATCAAAGTAGTCACTCATTCGCTTACTGACCCTCCTCTGGGATGTTTCCAGACCGTCGCCAATAGCCCATTGTGCAGCTCTAGTGCGACGTTAATTAACAACCAACCAACCAACCTTACTGATCGCTGGAGTTCTGATAATATTTATATATTAAAGAAGTTTTTAAAATGATATGTGCACCTTCAATTACCTGAGAAGGAATGCGAGAATCTGATTAGTGAAATTGATTTTTTTGTGAAAAACTCACCAATCAGATACCTCATCTCTACTGGGACTGTAGGTGCGGCAAACGCATTCTGTTAGATTGCTCCTTTTAAAGTGTGATTTAATAAAGGACCATTCTTACTTGATTAAAGTCGCCAACATTATAGTACTGTGAATGAGAACTTGATTGGTTGAATTTGTTCCTCAGGCGCATCAAACTAGTTGGTCATTGTTGTCAGCGATTGGAAGTGTGTGAATCGCATACAGCGACAACGGTCCTTAATTTATGGATCATCTGTGTTCAACGGTCTAAAAATGTATAAGAGACGAAGTTGAAGTCAAATTTAAATGATGCAATATAAAATTATTTAATTTTCTAAGATTTTAGTATTTTTTTTACTGAAACATGGTTGTTTAACTATTTAGTGCCACTATTATCTGTGTCTCAGAAATTAAAACCTTAATTATCTATAACTAGTTTTTGAATTTTCGCCCGTAAAAAGTGCAATGTCTCTAATGGAAAAGAAAGCCGGTTCTGTCTTGGAACCGAAAAAAACTGATTTATATTTTAAGTCTTTTATTGCTGGAGGTTGTATGATTTCCTACTTTAAAACTATTTGAATAAATTGCTTTTAGTTCCAAGCTAAGGTGTTTTTTTTTAAGCTTGTTTTTTCGATAATTTAAATTTTTATCTTTGCAGTTCTGTTGTACGATCTTTTTCATTTTACTAGTTTTAATGAATTTATAAATGCTTTAGGCTATTTAAAATTTTTTTTGTAATTCTATTTGCATTAAGGAATTCGCTACCGGATTCATATGGATACTTCACTATCATTTGTATTCCTCAGTTAAAACGAACTGTATAAATTAACATTGAAATTTATTCAATTTAATTTTATTATTATTGTGTTTTGAATTATTATGATTTGTTCCGATAGCACAGATTTGGTTATGCAGATTGATCTATGGTTTTAATAGGATCAAGTTTAAATATAATAATTTGGTTTCATTTTCACTCCAACTTTCCTCTGAAACATGTTTTTTAACTTTTTGTTAATAAAAGAACTCATTAAATGTTTTCTCCTAAGAAATTTTATGAATAGTTGAAAAAGTTTTTCCTAAGTACTTTGAAATTTTAAATAATTATTTTTTTTGACAAGTTTTTTAAATTTACAATTATATGAGAAATACAAAAAAAATCAATTACAACTTATTTTAGACAAAGTATAACTGAATTACTGTTTAATGATTGTAAAATAGTTATTAGTTTTATCATAAATTGTTAAATAAGAGAATGATATCTTGATCTATTTTATAATATTAACTAAGTGCACTGAAAAATTTTGAATGAAGGGCTAATTGCAACATGCCTCAACATGGTGGTAGCAATAATTCTAATTTTTGTTTGAACCAGTACTTTTTTTAATAAAGAGAAAGAAAATCATTTTGTCGATTTTTTCTAGTTAACAAATTTAACACAAAATAAATTTTAACTTTTTACCCCAGCCTTTATTCATAGTTGTATTGTAATAAAGCTGTAACTGACTTAAAGTAGTTCATTTGTTATTCTTAAACTACTTTTTCTTTTCATTGAATGATGTCTTTAAGAAAGGATGTTCTTAAATTATATGATTTATCTTATTGGATGTGCATATTCAATCTAATCTTTTGTTTATTTATGTTTGAATTTCTTGTTGTGGCTGTTTTAATATTTTTTAACTGTAAGAACAAGTGAAGATCATTGACTGTGAATAATGATGGGCATTTAGTTACTTTTATAATTCAAAGGCAATTTTTATCTGAATTATTCTTTTCTCTCCATTTTTTACTTTTTTAACTTGGACTCTTAAATTTTCCCATTAAGTGTAGTCCCAAAGGAAGTTTTAAATATTCAAACAAAAAAAAAGCATTATTTATTTATTTATTGTGTTTTTTAAAATACATATAGGAAAACTGAGATAAAATGAAAACACTAAATCTCAATTTAAAAACTTTCAGCACGTATTGATTAACTCTTTTAACTAGTTTTAACTCTTTCTGGCCAACTCATTTTAGAAAAATTTGTTTGAAAAACACAGATTTTTTTAAAAAATTCGTGAATACAAATTTCAATGTATAAATTTTAAGTCACTTGAACACAAATTACAAAAGTGGCTTATAAACAGCGCGAGTACAAATTGCGACATTTGATTTAGAATCCTAAAAATACGAAGCACGTTGTGGAAATTTAAATTGTGATGATAGCAATCGCGATGTATGATTTTAATAATATGAATATATTTTTTAAAATGCGTTTGCATTGGTAGGAAAAATGCAAAAAATAAAAAAATTTGGAGGAATCTGAAAAAGACAAGCTTTGAAAGAGAAACTTTTGAACTTGAAGAGGCTGATTATCTTTTTCATTTTTTACTAAAAGTAAAATTTTTCGTGCGTAGATTAATTTTACTAACCAGTAATTTTATTAGTAGTCATTATATACCAGGATTCTTTTGTTCATTAATGTTCCAAATGAATTCGGTACAGCTTTATGTAAATCACTATTCTATTTATTTTTTAGGTGTTGCATGCATGTGTTCAAAAAGTGCTGTTGCTCCCTTAGATCGTATTAAAATATTATTCCAAGCTCACAATCAACACTATAAACATCTAGGTAAGGTACTTTATAATGCTTTTTGAATTTACTAACTGATGTTAAGAAAATATTTTTCTTTTTAATCTACTTGTAAAAATGAAAACACCAATTCAAAGTAAATTTCTATTTTTTTAAAAATTTTGTATGGTTACTTCAATTAAATCATTCACTCTTTAAATCATTCATTGCCATTACACGCACGCACACACACAAAAAAAACCCTTTAACCTATGGATGAAAAGGTTTTACTTTGACTTTTCGAAAATTGTCGTTACTTGTCCTAATATATCATTACCATATCTTTAATCTTGAATTTTATTCAGCATCTCAAATTAAGTAGTTATATTATTTGTTGAGAAAAACTAAATAACCATTAATTAATTTACTTTCTTCTTGAAAATTCCAAATAATTTATTGTTTTAAAATTCACAATATTCTTATTTTATTTTTTCTCAAAATAGACTTGTTGTTAGGTCATAAGAATGTAAATTTTCTTTCACTGATCAAATATCTTTTCTCCTTTTTGCTTTAAAGAAGCTGCACTAGAAGTTAGGCAGAGTGATATGAAACTAAACTCAGCGGCACGATAGCCCTTGCGGGCCAAGGCCTACTGTGCCCATCTCAGTTTTCTTGACCTTGGACTCTGAGGTGCAGGAGCAGATGTTCCGGTCAGGTGGTCAGCCGAACGCGGAACCCCCAGTGTTTAGTTCCCAAGCGTGCTTGGTACTCATTTATCGACCCACTAAAGGGATGAAAGGATGAGTCAGCCTTGCCCGGCCCAAGGATCGAACCAGGGACCTGTGGCACGACAGCGCGAAGCGCTACCGCTCAGCCACCGAGCGTCAAGAGTGATATGAACAATGTTATATTTTTGTTTTAAATATTCTTATTAATTTACAAGGGTTATGTTATAATCTAAAGCTTTTCTTAGTTTTAATGGTGCCTAGAAATTAATGCAAGAGAAAGGTGTTTTAATGAAACTACAGTTGTAGGAAGAAAAAAAAAAGTTGTTAATAGATCTTTCTAGGATAAGTTCTTATAATTCTATTGCTGATGTGTCTTTCTCTTAGATTTAGGATGGTGGTTGGAAATTGCATTTAGAGCTTTATGTTTAAAATATAACCATAATTTTTACAAAAAGGTAGAATAAAATGCAATAGTATGTACAATGAGTGAGTTTAAATTGCAAAAACAGTTCGAAGAATTATTCTGTGCAACGCACAGGAAGATAATCTACCTTTTTTTTTTTTTTTTTTTTTTTTTTTTTTTTTTTTTTTTTTTTTTTTTTTTTTTTNTCTAATGGTTTTTACTTGCTTATTTGGTTTTGGTTTTATTTCTAATATTGGTTTCCTTCTTTTCTCTTTTGCTGAAATTAAAGATAAGTTAGAAGTAAAGGGGTGAAACTGCATGAATATCATTTATACACAATCGAGTCTCTATAATTTAAGATAGACTGGGCTGATCCTACCTCAGAACTTTTGAATACTTGAATTATTAAAAATATAAAATTTAATAAATGTTTAAATGAATGAAAACAAAGCAATTTTTTAATTTCATTAATTGAAAAATATATTTAGAAAAAATATACTTGCATTAGAGGTTCAGGGTACATTTATTATGTTACTGCGATAAGTTATTTGTACTTTAAAATAATTGTCTAACATTTTTAGTTTAAAAACACTGCTCCTTTTTTGCTCAGCAGTATCATGGCAATGTCGAAGTAGCATAATGTTGGTTGGTGTTGTTTGGGGCTGTTACTCCATGCATCACATTGCAGACTATAGAGCAGCTACACCCTCACTGTGGCTCATTTGTTGCATGGAATCTGATGGATTCTCCTATTTATTGTCCTCTGGTCTTGCCGGAACCTCGATTATTTTTAGAATGACAGCATCTGCCAATTCTAACTGTTCATCACTATTTAGCCATTTGCCCACCACTGTTATGTTGGTGTTTTCACAACTTGCAATTTTTTTTATTTAGCTGATAAAGATTATTCACGCATGCTGATTACAGTGGCAAATAGTCTTCATCAATGATGTGATCATTAACTATAATTGCATTTTTCAACATTCAGTGGTAGTAATTGTTGTAAAGCCAGTCGTTGTCATCATTCTACTTGTGTGTGTGTTGATCATTAATTGGAAGCAATAATGATTTTTTTCCTTCACTATCTCGGATATATGGAACAATTAATGCTCAAACTATCAAGACTCTACTGAATCTACTTTGTTTACATATGAAGAAATAAATTATGTTTAAGTGGTAGTGATATTCATGCAGCATATTATTGCATGTATTTTGAAAATATATTTTTATATAATTTTTATTATTTTATATCAGTTATTAATTCATCACTATCTTTTAATGAAAAATCTTGTTCTTTTTGTACACACCTGACATACATAATCTTAATCTTTTTATTCATAATTCTTGATAAACAAATGAATTTTTATAACAGGATGTGTAGCATTTTTAAAAAGTGCTTAAAGATGCTTATTTTCGTTTTTTTAAGCCCTTAAAAGTGTTTTTTTCATTGAGTGTTTTTAAAAAGTGCTTTGTTTTCCCTTTTTCGAAATGAGATTTTTCCTTTACTATGCTGATTTTTACTTCGAATTATGCAAAAGACACAGTTTGCATTGTTCTATCTAATCTATTTTGGCATATTGTCAATCGTAGCGTATAAAAACGCCATTCATTTTACATGATTCAAAATTTAAGGATTTTTGACAATTGTCAAAAACAATATTTTTGATATGACGGTTAAAACAAGATAAAGCCGTCAACTGTCAAAAACTTTCCAACCCTGCCTAGTTATGATATTTTTTAAAGTGCTTAAAAATATTTTTTGAGTGCTTGAAAAGAGCTTAAAGGGTGCTTATTTTTTGTTAAATAATTTGGCTACGCAAATCTTTTTAAAGAGTTTATTTGGTTGATCATTTTCTATTTTTATGACTAATTACAAGTTATTTTGAAAACATCATGATCAGTTTCTTTAGTATTACATCATATAGTGTACAATTTATAGTATAATTAAGAATTTCTATTGGTGACATTTTATATTTTCTTTATTAACAAAATTTTTTTTAGGTGATCAAAAACACGTTTGGACCATCTCATGCTTCAAAATTTTTTGCTGGTTCGGCAGCTGGTAATTATTTTTTATCTTAACTTTATTTACTTTAAATGAAATTATTATGGTATTTTATAATGGTTTTTCTTCTCTTTTATGGATAATTGTTTTCTTTAATATCTATTTTTGTTTTTATGGAAATTAAATATTTTGCTTTTTTCGAAAGTATATTATTTAAAAAATGTATGTAAAAGCCATCAATGCTATATAACGGATACTAAATTCTGGAATTAGCACTTGTTTTTAATGTAATTTAAGGCATTATATGATGAATTATCGCTCTAATAAATTCTGAAACTAACACTTGTTTCCAATGTAAATGTCACAAAACAAACATTTTTTCAATTTTCTTAAAGGCTATCTAATGAACTTGAAATTTCATCAAGTTGCATTTCATTTTCATGTGAACTACCCTCAAGGTTGTGATGGCTTTATTTAAATTTGATGTTGTAATTTTTTAATATAATGAGCCAAAATTCTTGTGAAGTACATGAGCCAAAATTCTTCATCACAACATTTAAATTTTTTCTCCGCTCTAGTTCCCACAATCACTACAATCCTTAAAATTGATTATTGATATAAATATTATGTTTTTGGAACTTTTGAATTTAGTTATCAAACATTTCTGCTCTTGTGTCTTTTTGTTTATTTATTATTACTTTTTTAAGTATCAGAAAAAAGATTGTTGTGGTCTAATTCTTCATCAGTCAACAAATATACAAGATCCATATTAAGTGACAGAGATTTATTCAAAATATTTCTTAAAAATATTTCTTCTGTCAATGATTAGGGGAAATTGATTATATTTTAATTTAAAGAAGTAATATAATTATTCTCTGTAACTGATAAATATGCAACCATTTTACCTATTGCTAGTATTGATAGACTAATTTTCTTTCTTTCTATTGATAATATTTTGATTTTATTTATAAAAAGGACTATTAGGCTCTTGTCGGTAATTTATTTGATATATTTTTTAAATAATATTTTTTCTTTAACTATTAGAAGAGATTGAATAAAACTTTTATGCAAGTTAATGAATTAAAATTATATTATATGCTTAATATTGCCAACTTGGATGGTTATTGAAATACTTTTTTCTTGGTAAGGGCATTATTTATATTTAAATGTATAAATCCTAATTTGAAAAGGTAAATCTTATTTTATTTCTCTTGCAATAACAATTCCATAATCCAATATATATATGTTAGATATGGTGAATCAGTTTTAATTTTGGAACATTCATATCCCAGAACATTCATAACCCAGAACATTCATAACCCATTCATTCCCATTATTATTATGCTACCTCTTTGTAAAAGCTTTCACAATGATCATGCAAGTTGCCAACTATGCTTTATAAATATTTGTATAAATGATAGCATATTTCCATTTTAAGAATTTAATTATTATTTGTTTTACATTAGTAATATAACAGCTCTGTTCTGTTTTTACTGTACTGTAATAGCTTTCATTTCTATCTTAACTGCTTATTAATTATTTTTCTTTAGAAAAATTTTATAATAAATTTTGTACTGTTGTAAATATGTGTTAAAATATTTATTTTGTGTCTGCATGATGCTTTTTAGAGAATTTCCCAAATTTATTTCTTTTGCAATTTTCCAGAATAAAACTTCAAACATTCTCCTTTCTTAGGTATTGTAATATGTAATGTCTAATGTAATATTTTAAGATAGGAACTGAAAAACGTAGGATTATAACATATTTGCTGAAAACTTCAAATTCTTTCCATCTTAAGGGCTTAAGTGACATCACCCTGATTATTATGAACTGAAAAATATATTAGATTAAAATCTTTTTATTTATTTGCTGAAAGCCTTGTCCTGGAGTCTTATGTAATATTTCAATATCCCCTACTGTTGTAAATGGAAAAATACAGACCACGAAATTTTAATTAGCTTGCTGAAAACTGTAAGCATTTTTTGTACTAAAAGGTTTTGTGGAATTTAGCATTAAAAGGAAATGGTAATTGTAATTTCTTTTTTATGCTATATTTCAAAGATTTTTTTTAAAAATAAAATAATAATTGAAGATTTTCTTTAACAGCATAACATTTGAAATAATGTTTTTGTTGTTCTGTTGTAGAATGAGTTAATTAAAATTGTTAGAGCAGTTTATGGAAAAACACGTTAAATGGACAAATTAACTAATCAAACAATAATAAATATAAAAAAAGCATGTAATTTTTAAGAAATGTTTTCTAATTCTAATCAAAATCCTCCATACATTTTGTTTTCAAAATTAAATGTTAAGCTAACTCTAGTTTTAAGATAAGTAAGTTAAGTATGTTAAGACAATTGAAAATATAATGATGTACTCGATTCTCAGCGTTATTACAGTGCCATTATAAAATCATTGATTTCATTATGGCATTGTAATAGCGCTGAGAATCGAGTGAATAAAAAAGTAATCATTCATATTTGCCGTCTGAATTTCACATGTGAAAATAATATTGTATTGAAAAAACAGGTGTTTAAAAAAAATATGCTAATCCGCATGTTTAACTATTTAGTAACTGATCCATAAGTAGTAACTATCTAATAATAAATTTTAAGGCTGTACAAAGTAATCTAATTTAGTAGTGACATTTTATACCATTTTCCTTGATTGAATTTTTAACTTAGTAAGCCAGTCTTTTTTTTTTCTTCCTGGCCGTAAACTTTTGTTGAAGCTTCTGTCACCATTTTTACCTTTTTTCTATGTGTATTCTGGGTGTGGCAAGGAAAATGCCGTATGTGAAATTTCAAATTCTTTATTGGTAAATCTTTCCAGGGGCTAAGTGTGCAATAATCGGTGACTGGGTTATCAAACAGTTACTCCTGTCTAAAATGTCAGTGTAATCCTCAGCTGTGCAATTCAAGATAGGGATAAAGTTGGTGTAAATCTCTTTTGTCTTGTTTGTTGATTCTCTGCTTTATAGAATTCTCTTGAAATCTACTGTTTTGATGTGTTTTTAGTTGTCATTTGAAATACATGGCAGTATGTTTCGATCTTGATGACTAATTTTGAAGCTTTGGACAGGTACCTCGAAGAATTAATAAGGTGCCACAAATAGTTGGCTCCTTGAGTGCAATTTGTTCTGGTCTTTGCTACGAATCATGCAACAGAGTATATTTTTGTTACACATTCTGCAAGCATTTGCATGTTCCTTGAAATTGCTGAGTATTCCATGAGGAAATTTACAGAATTTCAATCTAAATATTCCATTTTTTAAGAAAAATAATTTGTAGTAGATTTAAAATCAATTGTTCATATAAGACACGTTTGATTGTTGCATTTCCTTGCCATATTCCTATTATCCTTTCTATAACAAGAGTTGCTATTTCAGTAAATGTAGTAAAAATTCCCTGCACTTGAGTTAAGCTTTTCTTTAACATGAAGAAATCATAATACAATACGTAAGGAAACCTTCTGATATATTGTTCTTGTAATATTGTGTTGAAAATATTAGTATTCTTAAAACCATAGTGATAGCTTTCAATAAAAAAAACCAACGAGTATCTGAACTGATAATGGAATTTTCGTAAATTGAATCCCTCAAAAAAAGTTTACTTAAATACTTATTCTGAAGTTGGGTAACATAGTATTCTTTTAAAAATATCAAAGCTTTTGAAAACCATGTTGAAATTCTTAGAATATTTGCATAAAAAATTATTGAAGTGTTGAATTGATTTAAAAAAAAAAACTTAAGCTAACCGAGCGTGTTTTTTTTATATTATTTTTTAATGTCTGTTTTGTAACAGTGTCAAAAATTGCAACTGGAAATTTTTTTTATAGCGCTTTTTGCTGTAATTGTCACTGATTGGCGATGGCTAATCTAGAGTGTTAGGTAATACCAAAACATACACAATATCAACATATTACTAAATGTTTCATAAATAAATCTCTCAGTTCTCCTCTAGGAGATTATAGTGTTTGGATTTGCTGTTGTTTATCAATTATTGTTACCTTGTGTAGTCTAGTGGCACCTGTAAATTTATTTTGAAAGTAATGAAATAGTCAGCAAATCATTATTAAGTCAGTGATGAAGAATTTAATAACTTAAAAAGTTACAATAAATAATATATTTTAGGTCTTTTAAATCCTCTTTTATGAAGATTTCAAAAGTCAAAGAATTTGATTCTTGCAAAAACGTCAAGAAATTTTTTTCGTTAAAGTCCTGCAAAAAGTCTGGAAAAAACAGCTAGTTTCAGAATTAGTGATAGCAATAAGTAGCCATTGAGGTTTAAAGCAAGGAATTATAATATCTGTAACAAATGTTACTTTTAAAAACTTCACTACGAGATTAATATTACTCTATGTTACATCAAGTTTATAGGTATAGGAAATAACTGTTTAAGTATTTCTTGTATTAAATTTTTCCCCGTATTAAATATTGAAAAAAAACAACCCTTTTTTCTAATAAACATGACCGGTTTGAATAAAAATAGGATTTACCTATAGCTTCGTTGAAATGATATAGGAAAGTCAGTGAATTTCCTTTGTGAATATTTATTGGAAATATGTTTAACTTTTAAATTTTATTTAAAAAATAATTTAACAGGTTTCATATAATTCTTAATTAAATTTATTTTATTTGTTTTATAGGGGTAACTGCTTCAATAATGACTTATCCATTAGATGTTGTGAGAGCACGTTTGGCATTTCAAGTTACTGGTGAACATGTATATTCTGGAATTTGCAATACACTTAGTTTAATGTTTAGAAGAGTAAGCGCATCCACATTTAATTTCTTTTTCAATTCATAAAATCTATGCTTTATTATTAATTGCTCATAAGAGACTACTTTATGATTTAATGCAAGTTAAAAATATATTTATAATTCTGTTTATTTCTTGTTATTATTCAGGAAGGAGGTATCTCTGCTCTTTATAAAGGCTTGTCACCTACAATTCTTGCCAAGATTCCATCAGCAGGTAACTATCTTGTTAGTGTGATACACTACGGTTACGAATAAATATTTTTTGTCTGTTGTTTGGTTCTAATGCCACTTGCCACACGGGCAAGCCTGCTTGGTGAAACCGAGCAAATGTAAGGCAGAGTGTGCGATTCTTCTTTTTCAGTGGCGCCATCTATGGCCAAGAATTCGACTTCGCCACATCATACGTCATACCTGTTTATAAGGCGAACCCATTCATACATCCATTCATTAATCCAAAGATCGTAATTTTGACATGAATCATAGAACGATCGATCTCCAGTCCAGTACCCCCAGTTGTTTGTGGCGTTAATTGTGTTGCTCAACTAATATTATTAATTGACTTCCTAATTTTATTTGTATTTATTATTTTTGTTTACACCTCTTTCGATAAACGTGGTCTATCGCAAGGTTACAGAGTTATTTGAATGCATTGAACTCTGTCTTTTTACATCATATATTTTAGTATATTTTTAAATTAAGTAGTTTATATAGTTATAGTAGTTTAGCTTTTGTTAAAATATATTTGCTTTGATTTTATATTAATCTCATGGAAGTTAAATCGAGCTGTCACTTGTACTTCTGTGCTAGTTGCTGATTTCTGTAGTTATTATTATCTTTCATCCATCAGCATCTTATCTTTATGAGTTACTTTGATGTATGCTGTGTTACTTATGCACTGTTTGGTATCTATCATTAAAGTAATGTTTAAATCATTGTAAGAGGTTTTGATTTATATAAAAACACCAGCCTTTTGGAAGTGGAACCTTGTATTCTCATCCTAGTCAATTTGTTCTCCTCTTGCTTTATTTTCATGTTTTTTGATAAAATTTTTGGCAAGTTAATGAAAGCATGTATGGTAGATTCATCACACTATAGTAAAAATAAATTAACTTTTTCTATATATATAATCAATAAATGAGAATCGTTTTATATTCATTAAAATGTTTTGTACTGATAGCATTGAAAACTCTTAACTATATTAAATTCATTATTTCCAAATCATAAAATGATTTTGTGAAAGTCTAAATATATTATGAGAAATAAGATTTAAATATTCATCTGTTTGGTTTTCACGATACAATTTTACCATTTGGGTCTTAGTCAGTATAAATATTTGTCTATCCACAACAGATTTGTTAATGTACTAGTGAGTAACTTTATGGCCACAGATCAATTTAATTTGAAAATTCTTTTCATCGATTTTGGCTTAAATAAGGTTTCTATGAAATAAGAGGAAATCTGGTTAAACTGTTACTTTTAATTTGCGGCTTAAAATATTTAACCTGTTATTTTAAATGAAAAAAAAACTGGTCTTTTACAACCTTGGTAAATATTAACTTTCCAAAATTTAATGCAAATTATAAAAATGAAGCAATTAATGTTGTGGTATCTTAAATAAAGATATAACAAAACTATGTTCTAGCATATCATTCTGAAAAAATTATAAATATTATTAATGTTTATCTATACATATGTAGAAAATTTATTTTTGTTTATAATTTGAAAATTAATTATTATAAAAGTTAACTTAGATTAACTTATTAGTTGACATAGTTCACTTAGTCGATGCAGAATAGTTAACTTTTTATAATTCTTTTACTTTAATGAATATTTACTGTATTTTCTAAGTCAACTTTTTAACCTAATTTTTAATCGATTTAGGTCTCTCTTTCTATGTGTTTGAGCGTAGCAAGGCTTTATTATTGGAATATAGGCCAGAATTATGTGGTCGATCTCATTCAAGTAGCAGTGGAGGCATAGTTCTAACATTACCTGCTAAATTATTTTGTGGTGGCCTTGCAGGCGGTATTGCACAAACTGTATCGTAAGTATTATATAGATATTATTTTCACCCTTCTCTGTGCAAGTTGTGTTACTGTTGTATATAAGAATTTTTTCCTTTCCTATTTTTAAATTGGTGTGTTTGCGATGATTAAGTAAATATAATTCATTGTCTAAATTAATTTCTTAAAATGTTTTTCATATTCTTTTTTCAGCACAGTCAGAACCTAATTTAGCAAATTTTATATGGACCCTAGATTTTGTTCTTTAAATCTTCATTTGAAGTATTAATGTTTAGCAACTAAAAAATTCTTTACTTGCCTAATGGGACAGCTCTAAGCACCTGCATGTTTAGAAATTGTATATTTTTATTCAGATGTCCAAAATGTAGAATTTTGTGGATGCTTATGAATTTTTTATCCACATTGTTTTTTGCTTTGGTGCATGTTGCACAAAATATACCCTATGCTCTTTTTTTTGCTTGTAATTGTACTTGAGTGTCTGTAAATTCTGCTTTCTGAAGAGTTTTTCAGGATACATTTTTCAATTGTATCCTGAAAAACTCTGGTCCCAAAATTGTCTCATAAAATTTATAAAGCATTGGAAATGTTTGCTTTGTTTTTTTACTTCTGTATTTTTTCTAAAAATGTTATAAATTTTCTTATCAATAACTTTCTGTGATTAATTTTTCCATAGTGCTCCATAGTAATAGTTTTTCCATCTGGTGACTGTAGCACACTTGCACTATTAGCAAGAAAAAACTTATTTTTGACACTTTTTAAATTGTAAATTGAATAATAAATAGCTCATGAATAGATAGATTTTGTCACTTTTCTATAGTCATCAACTCATATAAATTTTGTTAAAAAGTCTGAAGTTTTTAAATATTTGTTTTTTAAAAAAAAATAACAAATATTTTCTCATTTTTGAAATAATTTGTGGATTTAATGTTCATTTATATCTTAAATATAAGTTTTTGCCTTCATTGTAATCAGAGCATGAGGAAATATCTCTAAATCTTAAAATTTGTATTTAGAGCTAGCTTTCTTTTATCACTTTTACAGAATGTTGGTTTGCCATGTAAAAAAATAGATAAAAAGAAAAAAAAGCATTTTATTGAATGCAAAAATAGTTAAGAATTAAAAGCCATAAATTTATGCTTGGAAGAAATCTTTCCATTTACATTTGTATTTACATTTGTATTTCCTATTGACTGTGTGACATTACTATTTTTTATGCAAGATACAACCATTTGATTTATGCTATTAAAATTTAATACAATGTATGCTATTAAAATTTAATACAAAATTTAATACAATGTATGCTATTAAAATTTAATACAATCTACCTTATGTTATTTTTTATATTATTGATTCTTTGATTTCCAATATTTCGGAAAAATAAGAGTAAAATTTTTTTTTCTCCACAGATTCAAAATCAAATATTTACTATCAGACCCCTATTTAATATTTTCTTTTTTTCTGATTAAAATGATGGCAAAACTCCTAATAAAAAAAATTTAATTTGTGTTGAAAGAATACTTAATAATTCAATTTCAATAATTCTTAATTACATTCTTAATAATTCCCATTTCATCCAGATGTAGTTAGTTTATTATTTATGTTTCTGCAGTCACAGTTTCCCTGAGCTGTGGCTAATTAGTTTATTAATTTGCCACAAACAATTCTTAGCACTTTTTTTTAATAAAATATTTTTTATAGTTGTAAAATTTATTGTTGCTACTAATTTGGTTAGTACATCCCTGATTTATGACTAATTAGTCTATTAATTTCAGACAAAATGTTATGCTTCTGTGCACAATTTTTTATAGCTTTTTTTATAATATATTTTTAATAGATTTAAAATTTACTGTTGCTACTAATTTGGTTGCTGAAGTTATTGTATCTCGGAATTATGACTAAATTAGTTTGACTCAAAATATTACCCTTCTGTACACAAACATTTCTTAATTTTTAGCTGTACACAGTTTTCAGAATATGCTTTTATAAAAAAAAAAAAATGCATATGTTTTTATAGCTACCCACTGGATGTTGCTCGCAGAAAAATGCAGTTAGGCACAATGACAGCTGAAACTCAAAAATTTGGGTGAGTTAATTCTTTTTTTTTTTTACTCATGTGTATTATAAAATAGATATTTTTTTCTGTAAATTTTAGTATTAAATTAATTTCAAGATGATGCTTTTGAAGAAAATTGTAGTCAGAACTTGTGATCTTCACCTAATTGAATTTTTATTCTTTTGAATTCTAGCATATGATGAATCCTATGGCTGACTTTTTTCGAGCTATCTGCGACAAAACTCTATACCACTATCTTTCTGATACAAGATACTTTTAATAATAATGAACATATATGTTACTAATTTAAAATAACAAGAGCTCTGTGTTAATAAAATATATGTACAGTCAAACCCCGCTATAGTGAATCTTCAAGGGACCGAAATTTAGGTTCACTCTAACCGGGAGTTCACTATATCCGTTACGCAGGCAATTTCACTAATGGTTCCCAAACTCCTCCCTTTTATTACATTATATTCATATAAATGACTGAAAAATATTATGTAGTTGCAAAAAATGTGTTATTTTTCATCACTCTTCGTCTTGCGTACAAATAAAAATTAGCTGATGAGCAATCCTCAACATCAGATATGGAAACACTTCCCGACTCTCAGATAATTTTTCCTGAATTTCTGTTATTCTGCTTTTTAAACCTGTCTAATCTGCCATTTGAGCACATAAAAGTAGTTTCTATAGATGGTTTTAAGAATCGGTATATGTATTTATTTTGAAGTAGAAATTTAAAAATTATTACAAAGAAAATGGGGGGGAATCAGTCGAAGACAGAAAAAATTTCATTATATCCAACTTCCTCACTTTTTTGGTTCACTATATCCACTAAAAATAACATTATACGTGTGTAGCAAGGCACGGGACCGAGCATTTTGTTCACTATATCCGGGAGTTCACTATAGCGGGGTTTGACTGTATATATGTAATTTTCTTTAATTGAACTTGTAATAATTTTTTAGTCCAACATTACAGGTGATATTCTCGTATTTTGTTGGAGGGGGGAGCACACAAATTATTTCCTTCTTCCCATTTTGTAAATAATCATCACAATAAAAAAAAATTAAAAATCATGAAATAGTAATTGGTGAAAAAAGATTGATGACAAAATGTCTCGAATCAGACTTCTCAAATGCGTGTTTTGTTTTGAGATAAGGTTGTTGTAATAAATAATATTGTATAGCAAATATCGAATTTAAAAACTATGAAGAAATCAATAGCGATAACTGCCAAAAATTCGATGGAATTTTGTTTTAAAAAGTAATTACTCAAATGCATGATTTGAATTTTCCGTATTGTTTGAAATGTATCTGGATATTTAAAATCCGCGAGAAAATTGATAACTGCTGAAAATATAATCAAACATTACTTCAATTTATGATAATATTGGCGCATTATCTAAATGCATGATTCAAATATTTTGCGTAAATTTCTGTAGGAAAGAAAAGTACATTTTTTTTACTTTTCAAAAGTAAAAATTCTTTCTGCGAGCACTCTGTATTGTTCTGCGATTATGCCGCCCTGTCATTGCGATTCTGACACAGGGTTTATGAATACTACCTGTTTATGCAGAATGAGTTGCACACATGCAATTAAGCATAATATTAAGTTCTAATTACATCTTTTAAATTAATTTACAAATTAATTTACTTCTTGATAGTGCATATCTGTAGCTAAATGCATAAAACATTCTATGCCCATTTATAGTTATGTTATGTAATCAGTTTGAAAGAGACTTCAAATTTATCACAGTAAAATTACAATGTTAATTCTGTAATTTTAGTTTATCTAGATTTTTTTTTCAGTCAATAAGCACTATTATTATAAGAAAACATAATTTTAATGTTTTCGACAATGACTCATATTAGCATAAATCAGGAGAAGTGCCTTATTTCAAGATTTTGTGTAAAGAAGTATAATTATTTGGGATGCTTTTTTGAAATCAAAAGAACCCTCTACCTCATGCGTATATAAAAAAAAATCATTTTTAGAATATTTTAAATTATTAAAAAAAGGGAAAATTGATAACTTCTTTAGATCATTTTGTTAAGAAAATATATATATTATACAAATTGATCATTTAATCTCATAATCTACTCTAAGCTTTTAGAATAGGCTTATTAGTTCAGTGATTATTTTAGAAAATTTTTCACTACCAATACATTAAGAAAATTGAGACTTAATATATTTAAAATATCTACTATGTTAAAATTATTGAATCAATTTTTGTTACATCCAAATTTTTTTTTTTAAAAAGTGATAAATGCACGATATTGATTAAATTAAATTGTGTTTCTACAAATCTGAATATGTAATAAAATCCATACTCGCAGTCATATTTCATTAAAATGTAAAATATTGTGTTCTTTAAATGAAATAAAAAATGTGAAAAAAACATCATTTCTGAAGCCAACCATCTTTTAAACATTCACAATTTCAGATTTTTTTTATATTATCTATTTGAAACTCTATCTGAAGCCACTTGTTATGGAATTTCTTTTATTCTCAAATGAGAATAGAAAAATCACAAGCATTTCTCTCCCGTTCAATGCATGAAAAGGATATATTTAAAATAAAATTCTGAAAAAAAAGGCCAAAAATTTTTATTTTTCCAAATTAAAAATCTTTCTGCAAGAACTCTATGGCATTCTACAACAATGTCAATTCAACCACAGAGACAAAACTTATTTTGTCAATAGTTGGTCAATTAGCATTTTTTTATTTAGTCGGGACTATGACATAGCAACTATGAGGAATAGAACTTAGAAAAGCTTATTGTATCTAAAAATGTATGACTCTGTGTGGCATTGCTATCAAGATGCATTTAAAAAGCAAGAAAAATAATTCTTTGTTATTCTTTCTAAATCTTTATTTGAGGTAGGAAGGTTTAAATTATACATTTTAAGGGATAAAATGAGTATTATTACAATGCATGTCTCCCAAATTTTACGTTCTTTAAAGAAGCGTCTTTCTAATGGTAATGAAATGTCAATTAAAATGTAAGCAGACATTGAGCAGTATTTTCTACACAATAAGATCGCTACTAGGCCTGATATAAGTGCGTTTGAAATACTTAAATGTAGTGATAGTTAAAATCAGTCTAAATTTCTTTTTTTAAACAAAAATCAAGTATAAATGTAGAAATTTCACGATCACATTAAATATAAAAATAAAATACTTCATTAAATATAAAAGAGTGAACAGGTACTTAATGTATTGCATAAATAGTACACTCACAAAATTGTAAGTGAATATTTAAGTCTATTAAGTTAAATGAAAATAGTTTATAATATGTATATTTATATTATGTATGCTTATAATATGTATATCATGGTTGGCACCTACCATGATATGTGCCAGACATATTATCTGGAAGTAAATAATAAATAAGAACAATCAGTTTAATGCTGGGAAGAAGAAGATTGAGGTTGTAAGAGTGTATCATTCTTTAATCCCATACCTACTTCCTATTATCATCGGAAAATATATGTTGGCTATGTCATCATTTTTGGTTTAAAAGTTAATGTTTAATTAAATGCTCTTAATAGTCAGTTATGTGCAATTACCGCACATCAAAATTATGTGATCATAATGAGCATACAACTGTTTATAATTTATTTACTATAGTTTACATATTAGACACATTATAATGTGTATTTATCATTAGAAAATATTTTTAATTACTTTTGTAGATAAATACTTTGTTTATTTTCAGTTCTTATGAAGCTTTGATTAAAGTTTCTAAATTTTTCTGTTTTTTAAGCTTTAGTATTTTTTTAAAGATTTCTTTACCTATTTTCAAAGCTAATTTTATAATTTATTCTATGCTTAAAATGCATCAATCAAATGTCCATTGCAGCAAATTAAGCATCAAATTGTTATATTTTAAAATATTTTCTTTCACTGAAGGAAATACACAATATTTTCTTTATTTAAGACTAAGTTACTCAAAATTTTCAGTTCATATTTTGTTTTAAAAGTAAAAATCTAAATTAAAAATACCTCATTAATATTTTTAATGTTCTTAAAATATTTATTGATAGTTTGCATATGATAACAGAAAGTCCTGAATTTGTGTTTCATTACTGGTTAGTGAGTGCAAAAATATGAAGAAAATAGTCACTTGTATCATAGTTGGTGGTGCCCTCTCTTGTAGAGGAATATCAATAGAGCTGGCAGCTTTAACTGAGTAACTTCTATTTTTGAAAAGATTCTTTTGTTTCTAATTTCCTCCATGTTTGTAACTATTTATTTTTTGTAGCTTTAATAATATATTGGTGATATTGAAAATAATGTATTTTTAATAATAATTTAGAATAAGGGCTGTTATATATAAATTTTTATGTCCATTTAGGGGCAATTTATATAAATTGAAATGCTTTTACTTTTCTGAGATATGCTGTCTAATTCTATTTAAATAATGTAAATCTAATATGTAAATTAAATTATGAAATATGTATAAATTTTTGTGCATTTTTTTATATTTAAAACAAGAGTTTGATTTAGAAGCTAATTTTTCAGTATATTTCTTGTATAATGCGAGGAAAAAAACCTTGTCACCTGGAGTAACTTCTGATCTAATGAACAGATCTTTGAGTTAAAGGACTTAATCTTATTGGTCCTAATGAGTTACTTTAAATATGCTAATTAATTAGTGCAGGGAATAATTTAAGTTAAGGAAATCAGACACAAAAATGTACTTTCTGTGAATAAACAATTTTTTCCCCGACAAAGTTAGATTTGTTACCCTCAGAATATAAGGGATTCCCGCAATCTGATTAACATGGTTTTAATAGTTTGGTCAGGAGACCAGTCTGAAGTTTATACCACTCTTAATGTTAATTTTGTGTTTTGTATCCTAATTGAAATTTTTTTTAAGTAAATCAAAAAATGCTTGCACTTAACTGTAACATTCATTTATCCTAAGATATTTCCTTGCAAGAAATGATTTTAAATAATTGTAATTTTTTATTATTTTATTTTATAATTATCTAAAACATTTTAAATTGTTAGGAACAAAAAAGTTTTACATCATTTTAAAGAACGTAATTTTTTATGTCAATCGATAAAATTTAAATGAAAACTGTCGTATAGTTCTTGAAAAATCAAATTTTAAATACGTAACTTCATTAGAATGAGGTATTATTTTTTTTTACAATTTTTAATTTTTTCACTATTATTAAATAAAATAATAATAAATGGTTATTAAAAATAAATTTTTTTATAGAATTATCTCGCATAAAGGAATTTTAGAAAAATTTCGATAAGTTTTGAAAGTTTGATGGGGAAATGTGGCAAAAGTTAAATTAACATTAAGGAGCCCAAAGTTTGGACTGTTCTCCTGAACAAACTATTTGAACCATATTTCCAAGATTGCAGCTACCCCATACTTTTAAGGGTTAGAAATCCAAATCCATCAACGAAAAAAAAAATTATGTTTTCAGAAAAAAAAAATTTTCATGTCTCATTTTGTGTTTCTGATTTTTAATTTAAAACATCTTCTGCACTATTTAATTAGCATAGTTAAGGTCACTCCCTTGAACCATTAAGACTAATTCCTAGGTTATGGAGATGCAATCATTGGATAAAAAATTAATCAAGATATTATTATTATTATTATTATTTTAATAATTTCTGCAATACTTTTTAAATATACATCATAATTAGCATGATAGGGTTAAATTAAAAGCTTAACTTTTTTATTACTGAAAATCAATAACTCGACTCAAATAAATCCATACCTTTAATATTTTGTAATAGTTATACAACTGTCCTTTATACATTTATAGTTCTCGAAAAAATTTTCTTTTTATGTTAACAATAGCCGAAAGAAGCGTAATATAACAAGGTATGTTAAAAAATTTTTTTTTTTCAACCTGATCAAAAACTAGTGCCAGGAAAAATAAAATAAAAAACTTTCATTTAAATTTCTCTGGTTAGTTATATCAGCACTTTTGATACATTTAACCAACCCATATATTAATTTATGTTCACAACATTATTAAATGTAATTTAACAATTAAAATTATCTTTCTTAATTTTCATTAAGATTTCCTATTCTTAATTTCTATCTTCTTGCTTTCATACTGCATTATAATATTATATTTTTAACTTTCTTCTTTAATATTGATTTTCTCCAGGTCTTGGTGAAACATCGATTCTCTCTTAAAAAAGAGATAGTACAGCAAATTTAACTTTTAGGGGAATGACGATCAACTATTTACAAGTTTGATTATCAAATTTTGATTACCAATCAATGAATATTATCAAAATAAAGTTCTACAATCAATATATATTTTGTATTAAAACTATCTTATTACTTTCCAATTACAACCATATTGTATTTTTAACTTTCTTCTTAAATCTTGATTTCTTCTATTTTCTGCAAAAGAAGTCTTAAACATTGGTATTTACAAAAAAAAAAAAAAAAAAAAAAAAAAAAAAAAAAAAAAAAAAAAAAAATTNAAAAAAAAAAAAGAAGAAGAAAAATGGTATACAAATTCATTTTTTTAGGGAAATGACAATTAACTACTTTCAAGGTAGATAATTAAATCTGATCATCAATGAATTTAGATTATCAAATGTAGTTAAATGTTCAAACTTTATTTTGTGTCATTACTTTCTTATTGCTTTTCTATTACAACCTTATTATATTGTTAACTTTCTTCTTTTATCTCAATTTTCTGCAGGAGAGGACTTGTTGAGATATTGGTACTTACATACAAAAAAGATGGCATAGCAAATGGACTTTTTAGGGGAATGACCATTAACTACTTACGAGTTGTCCCAATGATGGCTGTATCATTATCCACATATGAATTAGGGAAACAAATATTTGGATTAGACACTGGTATTGACTCTTGATCTGGTAAAAAAGAGAGAGAAGCTTCTTTGTATATTATCATTGGAAGCCTGCGAAACTCCAAGTATTGCATGTATTTTTGCCATAAAAACTGTGATGAAATCGGTGCTTGCAGTTATTTTTACTAGTCAAAATTAATGAATGTGTATATGCTATGTATAGTATTTCTTGTGCATTTGTTCATTTGTAGGATTTAAAGTTATCATTTTTTGATTCTATTAGATTTTTAAAGTTATATTTATTTTGTTTTCATTTTGTTATTAAAGATTGCATTTTTAAAGTTTTTTCACTTCTTTAGATCAAAAACTTACATATACACATGTGTTTTAGCAATTTACTGACTTGTAATTTTGATTAAAAACTAAATAAGTATTCTACCGATTGGCCATTTAGATAACAAATGTTTTATCTTATAATCCAGTTTAATTTTGCGTAAAAAATCTTGAGTACTTTTTGTTTAACTGAGTGCTTGTGGAAACAAACTCACAAAATAATTTAGGATTCCTCCAAAAAAAAAAAACTATCACTTTTATATGTTTATATGAATGAAGTTTGTTTATGCTCAATTTGCCTTTAGGTCAGATTTGCGTCTAGCTAGCCAAAAAGTACTAAAATGATATCTATACACTTTTAAGAGATTATAAAGCTAATAAATTTTTAAGACAATTCATAATGTGATCAAATACTTTATGTACAAAATCATGATGAAAAAATATTTTTTATACTCAGAAAAATAAATATTAGCTGTGCAAAATTTTTTTATATTAGATGTCATGGAAATATGTTTCTTATACATGTGATATAAAATAAAACCTAATTATAATACTTTGCATTTATATTAGTATCTGTGGTACCTATTAAAACTGGACCAATTACAATGATATATTACAATAGTGTCGTGCGTATTACCAAAAGTACTTTACCCGTGACATCATTATTACTGTGGTGATTTTTTTTACATTTCTCCTTAATATTTTAAACACCAATTGTCCATTGATTTAACTTTTTGTACATAAATTATTTTTTTAATATCTATTATGCTTATTACCAATTAATGCCTATTACCAAAATTAATAAAGCATCCTTGGTGTAAATAGTAGTATAGCAATTATTTATGCTTTTCTTAAACGAATTGGCACATTTTGTCATTAATTTTACTTTTTAAAAAGTACCTTATTTTTTTATTTCAATTAGGACATATCACAAAAGTTAACTATGCATTATTGGCATCCTAATAGTATGGTGAATCATATAGTATTTAAGCTTATTTGACTTATCAAATAAAATTCAATGTTAGGAACAACCCCCAGGCGTGACTATATCCAATTAAAAACTAAAAAGGGTTAAAATTGAATGTTAAGTTAGGCTTAGTGAACTCCCAAAACTTAATGAGGAAAACAAATTACTGCCTACAAGCTTTGATTTTGCGAAAAATAAATCTATGAATCAACGAATTACTCTTCAAAAGCTACAACACAGCTAGAGGGACTTTTTTCACCCACAGGAAACTTAAAATGAGATAGACCCTTGATCGCAAAGAAAGTCACAAAAAGTTAAAATCCTTTTCCAAAAAAGAAGTGAAATTTTGCGGTACAAAAATAATATAATGCTTAAATTAAGATAAAATTACTTGAAAATTTTGCATAAAATAAATTAAAACTGTCATAAAATTAGGGTGAATAAAAGATTTTAAAAGGAATAATTAAATAGATGAGTAATGATGAGATCAAAACGTTTAAAGAGATGAGTAATTGTAACATAGAGTATTTGTGACAATCTTATGTTACTAACTATTAACTAGTAGGAGGTAAAATTTTTTGAGAGTCGGGCAAATTTTTCCAATCTTGCAAAATTGCAAATCCAAACCCACTCCATAATCCTAATTTTACATATTTTTACTTGATATGAGATCTACTAAAAGTTTTGAGAAAAATTAATTATAAGGAAAATATGTCTTTTTATTGTGAGGTTAAGAATAAATAAAATAGGTGGCTTTGTAAACTTTTAAGATTAATATTTTAAGAACTGAGAAATTTCTAATTTAAATAACTAAGAATTTAAGAATAAAAATATTGTTTTTGTAATCTGAAAGAAATTAAATTATCACTAAACAAATCCCTCATTCCTTTATTCTTTATTATTAAAATTGATGATACCTACTAGATATCTAATAACTGAACACTGACTTGATTCGGTAAAGAGGTACTTTCTAAAATGAACTGCTATTAATATTTTATAATCATTTTTGGTTAATGAAGCAAAAAATAAGCCTTTTTTTTTATTTTACCTTAAACAGTATTTTTCTCTCTCGCTAAAGTAAGGCTGTACAACCTTTTTTTATTTTACCCTAAACAGTATTTCTTCTCTCGCTAAAGTACAACCTTTTTGAGTGTAGGGCCACTTGCACAGCAGGTACATTGACAAAGAGCCGTTCACATATTTAGTCATATTTGCGGCAAATATGACAATTTTATACAAACATTAGTGTTCTAAGTACTAAATATTTTTATCAGTAAACTTAATAAAATATTTGCCGAAAATTAAATACTTTTAATTATTTAAATTTCTTTTAAATTAAGAAAAGATACTTTTTAAAAAAAAAACTTTTTTCATTCTTCACAATAATTAATTCATTAAATATACATATATAATGGGAGGGGGTATATAAATTCTAACCACAAAGGAAAGACATTTATAAGGAAAATGGCTACGTAAGTAGAGCATAGTTTCTTCACATAAGTTGGAATGTTAATTAAATACAATGCCATATCTCACATCGAATTTATTGAAATATAATTCTCTCTCGTCTACGCATTCTACTTAACTTTAATGCATTATTTGCTTATCTATTATGTTGTTACCATAATATATTTTTTTGAGTACCTGCCAATTGTGATGTATAATTATTTTTTTCATGTTCTACATGGCTTAGTGCCGGTCTTCGTGTTAAGTAAGAAATATATAGTGAAAGAATTGAAATCTTTGTATAAGAATATAGAATGTGTCACTTAAAAGCATTGATAATTGACGAGCTTAGCTTACTCGAAATAGAGTAGAAAAAACAGTTGCTAATGTAAACAAAGGCTACTTTTCAACAACCAATCAGGAGATACCCACACTACGTCATTTGCAGGTATCCCGTTCAAAGTTATTTTACTCTAATATCATTTTATTTAAATGATAAGAAAAATTTTATTGATTGGCATTACATACGAAAGATATTGTGCTGATGCTCAATAGTTAAGTATTGTAGTATTGTTATAAATTTACAATACATATTTTTTTGGGGGGGGGGGATTTGTCACTTTTACTTGAATAAAATTGAAATTCTACTTATTTCTTGCAAAGTTTCTTGTTTTCTGAACTGATTTTCATTTTGAAAACAGTTATAAAATCATCTTGTTGCAGTACCTCAAGTTAAACATTTACAGAAAGATACTTGTTTTATTTCCATTTTTGTTACACCTTCTTAAAACTCATTTGTTTCTTAGAAGTTTAATTTGCTTGACCCATTGAAAAGCCTAAACAGCACGGTCATAAAATTCTATGATTCGATAAATTATTGATTCTCGAACAATTTAAATCAATCTCATTTAAAAGATGAATCTGTGTAAACGGTATTTTTCTTATGACTCCATTTATGTAACTTAACCCAAAAGCATTTATTACTAAAAATGCCTTTATAAAGTTACTGCATAGGTTCATAGGTAAAAAAACCTTTATAGAAGTTGCACTTTTATAAAGGTTAACAACTTTTCTCCAAGCTGCATGTTTTTATGTTAAAAACTAGCACTTTCATACAGAATATTAATCTTCACAAGTGTTACAGTTTAATGAAGTTTTTTTCAACCCCAATCTAGGCTGTATTTTTACCTCTAAAACACCTAGCTAGTTTTGCTATTAGCACTTAACCATAAAGAATTGCTGAAGTTTTTCTATACGCTATTGATCTTTAAATTATATTCCTGTATTTAAATCGAAGGGTACCACTGGGAAGTAAAGGCGGCCGATGCGCTATGCTCGTCATATTGTCATCATCATGCTGTTATTCTTGAAATTATGAAATCTTAACTTCCATGTCCCTCTCCTCAAATAATCGGGGTGTGCTTAGGATTTTAGCGGCTGTGGGGGAAACATTAATTTTATCATGATTAAAAAATATCTTGATTTGTTTAACAAAGTATATATTATACATTGGATTTTTTTGTATTTCTGTCAGATTTTTAAAAAAATTGCTTTAGCGTTTAAAATCAAAACTCAGACGAATTGTTAAGTAATACTTCATATTCAACAATGTTAATGCAACTAAAAATCTTAATATCTCTAATACTAGAAAGGTCAATTATTATTTACTTATTGCAAACTAATTACTAAATATATAAAGCCAAATATTATTTTTTTTTATCAAACTAAAAACATTAAAGAATTGCAAAGACAGAGAATCACTTGTCGAATGAAATGTAAATTAATTTAGATCAGAAAACATTTTCAAAAATAAATTATTCTTGGCAGAGCAATTCTTTATTTACAAGTAGATCTTTAAAAAGTTTTGAAATTGTATTGAAATAAATGTGTATAAAATTAATCGGGTATATTGATTTATACATTATTTGAATAAAACTAAATTATTTTAAATGCTACAACGAGCACATTAAAATATGAAATGAATAATGAAAAATTATAACTTGAAAGTTAAGTCCTTGTCTACATTTAAGCTCTTAAAAAAGGAAATAATATTTTGTTTCTTAGTTTATTAACTTATTTGTTTATTCTTTTACTAACATTTATTACTAATGAAATTTGATATCAATGGTTTGTGACCGCAATATTAAATTATAGTATATTAGTTAATGGAGTACTGTGTAAATAATATTCTTTAGTTAAATCTATGATTTTAAAAAAATCACGTGATTCAAATCAAGGATTTTTTTTTTTTTGATTAAACATTTTTAAATCAAGCCAGCCCTGCTTTTTATTTTTCTTGACATTTTCCGCAACAGTTTTTAAAAGTTACCCTCCCCACACATTCACAAATCGGAAATAGTTTAAAATACAATTAATTTCTATAACATAAAAGTTGAAAGTGGACAAAAAGTTCCATTTGTTGTTTTAAAAATTACACTCCTGATGTATATTAAAAAAAAACTTTAACTGAAATGAAATTCGACACATTTAGAAAGATAAATTATAATAACTATCGTATGAATTATATATCCAAGGAATAGTAAAAATATATTCAAGATTTAGCAA